CAGACAACCTCTCGTCAATATGCGTTTTTCGCATTGCATTGCTGCAAAAAACGCATAAAAAGTGACTTGAATTTTAGCAATTTTGCACACGTCAATCCATACATGACTGGATCGGTTCAACAGGTCATCCAAGAACTGATTTTTCATTTTCCACAAGAAACTTGAAGCCGAGTTTTAAAATATTCGATAATGATCGCTTAATTTGAAGTACCATCTGCACGCTTCAGCGGCGTTACCGCAGTCATCTGTTCATTCTGCAAAGAACAAACTATAAAATTTATACATCCTAAACTATGCGTTGATCAACTACAATTTGTAGTATGATTGTTCAGCTGTGCACCAAACCATTTTTCCAGTTGCTTTGACCAAATGCCTGAACATCATCTAATGAACAGCTTGTTGGTAGTTCCGATATGCTGGTTAATTTGTTCTATCAATAAAAACTTCCAAGAAGGTCCTAGACGGGGAAAAACACATAAAAAATATAAGTAATAAATATACAAAAAGCAAACGACCGATCTATAGTTGAAAACCCATGAAAAGCCATTAAAGGAAGCCCCATGACAAGCACGTATGGAAAAGCTGATAAGAAAGAAAGGTGTATGCTGTCTTAAAGCAGAAATGCAGCAGAACTGCTCCCCAAGCTGATTCTGGCGTACAAGAGCGGTCGGTGTAATGTTTCAGCACGTCGCATCCGGATGTGAAGAAGAGTGGAATGATTCCTTTTCGGTCTATATTCATTTGCAATAAAAGAGCTTTGTCAGCGACACGATCGTTAAAAAACACCTCTTTAACAGATCTAATAATTTATCGTTATTTCCTTCTAATTCTAAAATTGATCAGTTGCTTTGAAGCATATATCAGGTTACAGAAATGATAACTGTATCAAGATGTTTTAAGTTTTATCCAAAAACAAAAAAAGTAAAACAGCCCCCCTCCAACTATCCACTGAGACGGTGAGCAATTTTGAGAATCATCATTTTGCCGCATACAGTACAAATTATAGCTCGGATGCAAACTCCCTCTCCAAACACTAATAAAATGCGAATTCAACAAACATCATCGGCTCGGATATTGGCCCTTCGATAGTTCATGCATATATCACGGCAACACAGTGATGCGGAGAAAACCGAAAGTATCAACTGCAAAATTGCTGCTGCAATTATGCCAGCATCTAAACGATATTCGGTTCCCAGTCGTGTCATTGAGCTGTAATTATTCACTGAATTATACTTTTTGAACTCCAGTCATCTGTTTTTTCGTCGTTATGTTTCTTCTCTCCACTGCTGCAGCCAGTGAATTCTCCATTCTCTTCTATTTTGCACCTCTCTCATCCACATAATTCTACGCAGTTGTTCATCCATTGTACTGCTACTGGTATTATTATTTATTAAAACAAGATGAATCAGCCTACAAAATTATTCTAATGAAAACTATGCTATGTGCAACAGTGCTCCACAGACCTTCTTTTGTTATCGTCGATATTTTCTCCGCATAAAATTTGACATCTGCTATTCTTTGGTAAACTGGTAGCCAATAAATGCCAGTCGCATTGACCAAAACATTCAGCCTGCAAATTTTAACACATTCCATTCCTTTCGCCCAAAAATGTAAAAGAAAGAAAAAAAAGACAGCCGTTAATTTGATATCCTATTAGGAGACTCAACGATCGTCAACATCTTCAGGAAAATCATAATTTATCGAATGAACCTGATAAAAATGTATGTCAAAGCTCGAAACAATGACAATCGTTGGTGCGAAAATGAAGACAGCATGAAAACTCATAATCATGAATGCCAGAATCAGACCGTGGCGATGACTTGCTGAACCACAGATTCCAACAATGCTACAAATTTCAGAGTAAAAGTTAATAAAAATCAGTATTCGCTTATCAAAAGAGCAGGAGAACGGGGCGCTGATTTAGCCCAAATAGCTACCGATTTACAAACTCGGCCACATGCAAGAGCAATAGATTTTTAAAATAAATTAGAATATCAACCTTGTTAAAAATTTCAATTTTTGATCTCGAATTTTGAAATCGCGCACAAATTGGCCTCAAATTTCGAAATTGTGTTGAGCCGCATTTTTGAAATTGTGGCTCAAAACAAACGGCAGTTATTAGCTGGAGGTAAGCAGCTTAGAATCAAAGGCCTGACGCAGATGCATTTGATGCATGAAAGCATCCCAGTAACATCATTAGCACAGGATATCCACACTGACTGCCTGAGCGGTCTTGATATTCCTAACGTAATCGAAATTTTGGTGTTTTGAGCAAATTTTCGTCTATCATAATTTTCTTTTTTTCGATTTTTTTGGGTAATGAACGTGTCCGAATCAGTTGTTTATCTCACCCGGCTTTCTGACATTTTGCATCTAAAATCTCTTTCTTTAGTTTTCATGAGCAAGACGTAAAAGTACCCGGTCAAGATAAAGTAGAATGAGCAACATTCCTCGAGACCAACCAATCGAATTGTAGGAATTCGTGAACTGACATAATCAGCCAGTGCCGCCAAAATGAAGATTATAAGGCCAAGCACAACGTGACATTGCGCCAGACACTGTAACAAAAACAGTCTATTACTATTTGAGCTTTTTGAGTCACGTGAAAGATAATGAGGGAGAGCGAGGGAGAAAAAAGTATCGGTATATAATTAGCAAACGAAAACAAATACCTCTATGTAATCACACAGACAGTCAGACTATTCATCAGATGAGCGGGCGTGTATCCAAAGGCAAAAAACAAAAAGATCTCTTCGTATTTGATTTCTGCGTGAGTACTCGAAAAGTAACTTGAATGGTTACAAATGCTAAGAGCAACCACACGTTGGCAGATTTGTCGATGACTCGCTCTTTCGAGGGTTGCTTATAGGAAAGTTAATAGCGAGTTTGCCCCTGGCATATATCAGTACCAATTTACCATCAAAACGAATGAAGAGAATCGTAGGAGATTTAGTTGCCCACGAAAGAAAGTAAGATTTGATAACCCAATAACGGACATATTACTAGTTTTGTCGTGCCAATGCCCAGCACCGCTATCAAGCACCACCCAGTAATTACGAAAAGGGGGTACCACAGACACGCTCCTAAGGCGACTACACTAGTGCGACGGCAAAAATCATGCAGTCCTCCGCCTTATCTACAAAGTACCATATGCTTTTGACAGCTAGTCGTAAAATGCGCGATTTCAGTGGTCTTCATCCTGCCAGTCTCCATTATATTTGCAAAAAGCCTCAAAAAAAAAAAAAAAATAAAAAAAACCCTCAGTCTCAAGGAACCTCAACATGTTCTATGAATCTTTCACTAAACAAAATAAACGTCAGGACTGGCAGCATTTTGGCCATCAAGCGATGCAGCATTAGAAAACAATAAGAAAAATTGCCAAATGCATAAGTTGGAAAGAACTGGTCTATGAATTAGCAGCCGATCCAAATTTTCCAAGCGAGTAAAACGAAAAAAAATATAAAAGAGGAAGTAAACTCAGGAAAGAACCGACCTTAAGCATGCCGTGTGATCGGAGGAAGTTCTCGGAGCACCGATCACTACCCGATCGAGGCGAAATAGTAAGAGCAGTCAGCGACATTACCACTTTCTCGCCCCTGTTGATCGATGTTGTTTATACTTCGATGTAAATGTTTACTTTTCGCCGGACGAAAAAACCCATTGCCAGTAATCTCATCTCCATTCCTCAGCTACTTTTTCGGTAGCTAAAATTACAATCCTGAGGGGCTCAATCAAAGGTTACTTCCTTTCGTTCCGATAAGCCATCACAGTAAATTTTGACCCTGTAGAAAGCATATTATTAAATATAACGTTATGTACTACTGTTTATGACAAAACACGCGTGTATTCGGGCACACTTTTTTCGACTGCTGTTCATCGAAGATCTTTGTTAGTCGGTTAGTGATTATCCTTCCGAAGAGGTTTGCAAATATGAGAGGATAAGCAGTGGGGACAGTAGCTCTTCGATCTTCTTTATCGCTCTTTTTGGGCATCGTAACAGTTCTAAGGGTGCAGCCATTA